ACTAAATTTGCATAACTAACAAGGAGCTGAATGTTAATCCCCAAGACCATGGGGAAAATGTTTCCAGGGCATGTCAGAGGTCTTCACAGCAGCCCCTCCCATCACAGGCCCAGAGGCCTAGGAGGAAAAAGCGGTTTTGCAGGCTGGGTCCAGGGTCCCTGTGCTGTGTGCAGCTGAGGCTGAAACGGGCCAATCTAGAGCTTGGCTGTGGCTGAAACAGGCCAATCTAGAGCTCGAGCCATGGTGGAAACCCCAAGCCTTGGCAGCTTCCATGTAGTGTTGAGCCTGCGAGTGCACAGAAGTCAAGAATTGAGGTTTGGGAACCTCCGCCTAGACTTCAGAAGATGTGTGCAAACACCTGGATGCTCAGGCAGAAGTTTGCTGCAGGGGCGGGGCCCTCATGGAGACCCTCTGCTATGGCAGTGCAGAAGGGAAATGTGGGGTCAGAGCCCCCACACGGAGTCCCTACTGGGGCATGGACTATTGGAGCTGTCAGAAGGGGGCCACTGTCCTTCAGACCCCAGAATGGTAGATCCACTGACAGCTTGCACCATTTGCCTGGAAAATCTGCAGACACTCAATGCCAGCCCATGAAAGCAGCCAGGATGGAGACAGTACCCTGCAAAGTCACAGGGATGGAGTTGCCCAAGGCATCAGCATGATCTGGATGTGAGACATGGAGTCAAAGGAGATCACTTCAGAGCTTTAAGATTTGACTGCTCTGCTGGATTTTGGACTTGCATGGGGCCTGTAGCCCCTTTGCTTTGGCCAATTCCATCCATTTGGAACAGCTGTGTTTACCCAATGCCTGTACCCCTATTGTATCTAGGAAGTAACTAACTTGCTTTTGATTTTACAGGCTTGTAGGTGGAAAGGACTTGCCTTGTCTCAGGTGAGACTGTGGACTGTGTATGGACTTTTGAGTTAATGCTGAAATGAGTTAAGATTTTGGGGGACTGTTGGGAAGGCATGACTGGTTTTGAAATGTGAGGTCATGAGATTTGGGAGTGGCCAGGGGTGGAAAGATATGGTTTGGCTGTGTCCCCACCCAAATCTCATCTTGAATTGTACTCCCATAATTCCCATGTGTTGTGGGAGGGACCTGGTGGGAGATAATTGAATTGTGGGCAGTTTCTCCCATACTGTTCTCGTGGTAGTGTATAAGTCTCACGAGATCTGATGGTTTTATAAGGGGAAACCCCTTTCACTTGGTTCTCATTCTTCTCTTGCCACTGCCATGTAAGAAGTGCCTTTTGCATTCCACCATGATTGTGAGGCCTCCCCAGCCACGTGGAACTGTAAGTCCTTCAAACCTCTTTCTTTTGTAAATTGCTTGGTCTCAGGTATGTCTTCATCAGCAGTGTGAAAATGGACTAATACACTGGTCCACCTGGCAAGGGGCCACCAAGAGAGAGGGGTCTAGTCCTCTGCTGGTGGAGTCCAGACACCCAAGGCTCTGTGAAGCAAGGCCATGGTGGGGCGGCAGGAGTAAATTATGCCAGAAGGTAATCCTTCTCCATGTAGGGAGGTGGCACACATGAAACCCGGCCATTGAGGGCCAGGCTAGGAACTGGCTGTGCCATAAAACTGGTGCATCAACATCAGGTATTTTTGAGGAGAGGAGACAAAATGACAGCTGAGGATGAGTGAGCTCATGGGGACCGTGCTTCTGCTGCAACGGCTACAGCTATCACCTTCCTCCCACATCTGCCCAGGTGATCACTGAGAAAGGGCTCCAGGAGGTGACACTGTGGGAACTCCCTGCCAGGGGCCGTGGATGGGGCACAGTTAAAGAAGGTGCAGCCATCGTGACTGAAGGCTGTTAAAGACGTGCCGCCCAGCTTTGTGAGTCACACGATCCTCTTCCCCGAGCGGGACCCACCAGCACCATCCGTGGCCAGAGCCAGCACCATCCCTTCAGAGACAAGGCTCCGCAGGCAGCATCCAGGGCTTCCTGCTGAAGGGGCTGGTGGTGGGGAGGAAGGTTCTGGACTCAAGGAGGCCCGTGGCTGAAATGATGGCTGGAGTTAGCCTCATCCGCCTCTTCTCCACATACCATGGCACTGCCCACACCTGCACCCCAGACAAGGCTGGCAGCTGAGGGTGGCCTGGGATGAGATCCAAGATGCAAACTTCCATCCTCTTGGACTGCCACTGGTCTGTAGTGTTTGTTTGTTTGTTTTACGAAGTCTCACTGTCGCTCATGCTGGAGTGTGGTGGCACGATCTCAGCTCACTGCAATCTCTGCCTCTCAGGTTCAAGTGATTCTCATGCCTCAGCCTCCCAAGTAGCTGGAATTACAGGCGCCCACCACCATGCCCAGGTAATTTTTGTATTTTTAGTAGAGATGGGGTTTTGCCATGTTGGCCAGGTTGGTCTTGAACTCCTGACCTCAAGTGATCTGTCTGTCTCGACCTTCCAAAGTGCTAGGATTACAGGCGTGAGCCACCGTGCCTGGCCCTCTAGTGGTTTAAAGATGGAAAACAATTTCCATCCATGGGGACTGACTATACGGATTATGCTTTATCTCTTCAGGAGAATGATGCCCAACTTTAAAAGGGGCATGAATTAGAGGTCTGGATGGAGAAAAAGATCTACAATGTAAGGGAAAAACATTCCTCCACAAGAGGTACAGAAGATCCCATTGGCTAAAAATAATAAAGCCTGTACATGAATAAAACATGTCTGGAGTGATTAATCAAAGAGGGAAGCTTTTCGTTTTATTGTGTATCCTTCTGTGCTGTTTAAATTTTTACCTTGTGTATATATTATTTTTAATGTATGCATGTATTTATTTTTAGAGATGAGGTCTTGCTGTGTCACCCAGGCTGGGGTGCAGTGGCATGATCATGGCTCACTGCAGCCTCAAAGTCCTGGGTTCAAGCAATCCTCCTGCCTCAGCCTTCTGAGTAGCTGGGACTACAGGCATGTACCACTGCACCCAGCTTTATTTTTTATAACAGCATGTAGCAGAAGGTATTAGAGCTGACCAAATATCCATGCACTTCACATTTCCCAGCCTCCCCTGAAACTAACTTGTCTCTGGTGTTGACTGGTTCTGGCTGGCAGACTGTGGGTGAAATTGAGGAACATTCGTCCAGGAGAGGTAGTGGAAAGTCTCTGTGTGGAACCCCTAGCACTCACTTTCAAGGCTCCAGACAGGGCAGCTGTTAGATGGAGGTAGTTGGCCCAATCTGATTGGACTTCAGGTGAGTGACAGATGAACCTCTGCTGTATTCAGCTACTTAGGGTTTGGGGCAAATTTGTTACCGCAGCAGGGCCCAGTCTAGACTGACTAACACAACGTACACAGACTTGATAGCGCCATTCCAGGATGCTGGTACTAAGGTCCCCAACATGATGGCACCAGCCTAGAGGGTCTGTGGAACCCACAGCTCCCAGGCTGGGCCCAGGTGAACTTGCTTTTGTCCACTGAGGAGTTTACAAAGTGGTCCAGGAGAACAGAGGCGTCAGTCTCACACACAGCAGGGAGGCAGGCACTGGCTGGCTCTGGGGATGGGACAAAGCCAGCCACAATCGACCACAAGAGGCCTTGTGATGGAGGACTGTCTTGCTGCCTTTCTGTAGCTCAGCCCTGTCACTGGCATTCCCCTTCCCTGGGATGGGGACCTGCCGCATTAGAGGACCACACCCTTCCGGAGGGAGGGAAGCCCCAGTCCACAGAAGGGCGAGCCGGTCACTGGGCCCAGATGCTCACTCACCACAAACTGACTGTTGACCTTCTCGAGGATCTGCTTCTCGTTGAGGGCCATGGACTCCCCTTTCCTCTTTTTGATCCTCTTCTTCTCCAAGCGCTTGCAGGCGTACATTTTACCCGTGGCCCGAACCTGGCAGGCACACACCTGCAGTGCAAGAAAGAAACCAGGGTGGCAGGAGCACTGTGGAGGCCTGTCTCTAGCTCCTCCAGGGCCGGGACCACAGGGCTCCCAGGTGGAGAATGGATGGGGTCAGAGCCGGCCCTGCCTGGCTTCGTGGGTGCTCCAGGCTCCCAGGACCCCATGATGCCTGGCCTGGGACCCACGGCTGTCCTGGGCCCTTGCCCTCCCTCCTCCTCCCCTTCGAGGATTCCCAGTCCTGGAAGGGGCAGAATGAGCCACTCACACCAAGGCTTAGATAACTGACTGGGGCCCCAAGTACTGTCCCATTCCCAGGGCAACTGAATTTTCTCCTAGCAGCTGCTGGTAGAGATGTTTGTTTTGGGAGTAGGTGATAGGAGATCCTCAAGAACCCTGCCTTTATAATCCAGATAAGTGGGAACCAAAGCATTTGGGCTCAAGTCTTAGTTCTGCGCCACATTTTCTGCGTGCCTTTGGCTGGGTCACCGAATCATTCTGGACCTCAGCTTCCTGATCTCTAAAATGGGAATAACAAGTCTTGCCTCACGTGCTGGGAAGATCGAAGATCGGATAATGTACAACGAAATCTCGAATCTTGCATGACAGCGTCATCCAGGCACTGAGCAGCCAAGGTTGCCCAGCCTCCTCATGCCCTCACATCTCCTCTCCACACACAACCAGGGCGGCCCATTTGTCCTCTGCAGGCTGGACCCTGCCTGAGGCCGGTGGGAGAGCCCCTCTGTCTCACCTGCCCAGCTCCACACCCTCCTTCCACCTTAGACACACCTGATAGCCCCAAGGTCACTGACTCTCCCCCACCCTCACTGCCCCCGGGGCCCACACTGAGCCGCTGGCATCCCAGGGGGACCCCTGCGCTGACCCTCGAGGTCGATCCAGAAGGGACAGAAAAGGTGACTTGAATATAAGAACTTTCAATTAAAAACGTGAATGTTCACTCACCTCCCCGAAGCCCCCTTTTCCCAGCACTCGGTACTGCCTGAAAGTGTTTTTGGTCACCGGTTGCCTGGAAGAAAGAAGAGTCCCACACTGCACACTGGTCTCACGGTGCCAAGACTCAGAATCCACAGGAAACAGCGGCACATTGAGAGCAGCTGGGGTGGGGTGTCATTCCAGGAGCCCCACAGCAGCCGCAGGGACCCCCCCAGGAATCAATGCTGGAGACTGGACCTTCAAGGACTTAGTCTGAAGCTGAGTGTTCAAATCCCAAGCCCCCCGGCCCCTAGCCCCCTGCAAGCTGGGGGATGCACAGGCCTCGCTTGCTCAGAAGGCTTGAAAAATGTGAGCACAGAGGTGCTTGACCACACTTTCCACGTGGTTCTCCTCTCTCTGCAAATCATGTGGTGAAACTCAGAAGTAAGCTGTGCCCTCTGTGCAGGGAGGGGTGGGGGCCAGGCGCTGCAGAGGACCAGCGGCCCACAGAGGACATGGAGGAGGTCACAGGCCTCCCTACACCTGTGCATCTCAGCCTGCCCAGCAGGATGGCAGTGCTTCCTGTCCTGGGCACAGCCTATTCCTTCCTGCGGGCACTCCTGCTGCTGGCCCAGGAGACCTGGCCTCAGGAGGGGGCAGAGGCTGCTGATCTTCAAATCGTGTCCTGGGGATCTTTACCACTGGTTCCCAACCTTTTCCCTACTGAGGACCCTTTATTATATTTCCCACATAGATGAGGAACATGAGAAGATCCTGCCTGCCAAGATCGGACTGGAAGTAATGATCGCCTTGCGTCTTCTGACTCCTCGTTTTAATGAGCCAAAGCCATTTATGACATTGAATCAGACAAAACTTCTGATTATGAGGCATGATGGCACTTTTTGGACTAAACAAAGACATGGTCTCATCTAGTTGCCATAAAGGACATCCTGGTGCAGAGGGCTTGTGGTTTGCATTGCTGGTCTGTCTGGCTACAAATAATCAGCTTAAAACGTGAAAATTGGCTCTTGGCTCTCCAGGACTATTTTTGAGCACTGCCCCTAAACTCCTCAAAAGTCCTGACCAGGGCAGCGGTTGGCTAGAGGCTGAACAGGGCTAAAGAACTGGGTCAGCTGAGGATGACCAGGGAGCCTTCAGTCACCCAGCAGCTCTTGAACGAATGAGTCTTTCCTGGAAATCACATCTGCGGCACTACAGCCGCACTCTGAGGACAGCCCCGAAAAGCCAGGGTACTCTCTGGCACCCTGTCTTGAATTTGCATGCCACGGCTCACTTCTCCCTTCAACAGTGCTTCCTCAGGACGCAGGGCCCAATCCTCACCGAAGCACAGAGCTGCCCTCTGCAGGTCTCCCGCTCTCCCACACAGGAGCAGCTGGGCAGCCAAAGGGAAGACCTGCCACATGCCTGCCTTTACCATGTGGCCCTGGGAAGCCTTCCCTGCAACCGCCCCCAAAACCACATGAAGGCTACCCGCCTAACAGTTTACGATGCATGGAGGAGAAACGGTTGGTCGGCATCTCCAAAGAACTCCTCTGCTGGGGGAAATGAGTGGAATGCAAGTTCCCAGGAATTTCTTGGTTAACCTTGGGAGGAAAAAAATCCCTCGACTATTTCAGCAGTGCAGCATGAACAGGGCAGGATCTTGTGCAGGGTGCTATCCATTATGTAGGACATTCATTCCTAGGCCAAGGTCCTGACCTACAGGCTCCAAAAACTTAATGCCTTCAAAAAGGTGAACTCTTAACTTCTTTGCAATCAGGCCACAGATTAAAAAGGACAATTTCTCCATTTCATGTGCTTGGTGCAGATAAGAAAAAGGAAAGCCGGTGACCACTGACAAAGGCTGCTATGGGAACTGGAGTGCTGGGTGGACCAAGGGCCGAGGACTTGGGAGGGGGACTCTGGGTTCAGGTTCCAGCCTTGCCAGGCGCTTGCTGAGTGGCCCAAGGCTGCTCCAACTCCTCTGAGGAAAATTATCATGAGAAGGTCTTACATCCTGTGAGGGCTCTTTGTAAACTGGTGTTGTGTCAGATGTCATTATTTGAATTCCTAGGAATAAAGGACATACCCTGCTCTGGGGTCTCTATAGTAACAATACCTGCTGCTCCAAGCATGCATGGGGGCTTGTATAATCCTCACACCAGCTCAGGGAGCAGGCATCATTATCATCCCCATTCTGCAGATGAGAACACAGAGGCTTCAAGAAGTGAAATGAGTTGCCCAAGGCCCTGGCTGGTAGTGGTGGGCTGGAGTTGGGGTCTAGGCAGCCCATGCTGCGTATCCTGACCCCACACTGCCACTCTGGGAAGGTACGCACAGATTGGGGTTGTGTGTTTCACAGCCAGGGCTCCAGAACGGGGCGTGGGCATGGTGAACACAGTTCCACTAGACTGCCCTGTAATTGTCAGAATCAGGACTGACCCTCCAGCAAGAGTTGGCTGTTCCTCCCAATATCAGACCTGGTGAAGTGGGGCTAATGGCAGTGATGCTGTTGATGGCGGTGATACTGATGATGGTGGTGATGCTGTTGATGGCAGTGATGCTGTTGACGGCAGTGACGCTGACAATGGCGGTGATACTAATGATGGTGGTAATGCTGTTGATGACAGTGGGATACTGATAACAGCAGCGATGCTGATGATGGTGGTGATGCTGATGATGGCAGTGCTGCTGATGACGGTGATGATGCTAATGAAGGAGGTGATGCTGATGATGGTGGTGATGGTGATGATGGCGATGATGCTGATGATGGAGGTGATGCTGATGATGGCGGTGATGCTGATGATGGCAGTGATGCTGATGATGGCAGTGATGCTGATGATGTCAGTGATGCTGATGATGGTGATGATGCTAATGATGGAGGTGATGCTGATGATGGTGGTGATGCTGATGATGGCAATGATGCTGATGATGGAGGTGATGCTGATGATGGAGGTGATGCTGATGATGGTGGTGATGCTGTTGATGGCGGTGATGCTGTTGATGGCGGTGATGCTGTTGATGGCGGTGATGCTGATGATGGCGGTGATGATGGCGGTGATGCTGTTGATGGCGGTGATGCTGTTGATGGCGGTGATGCTGATGATGGTGATGATGCTGACGATGGTGATGATGCTGACGGTGGTGATGATGAAGGTAGTGATGCTGATGATGGTGGTGACATCGATGAAGGCAGTGATGCTGATGATGGTGGTGATGTCGATGAAGGTGGTGATGCTGATGATGGTGGTGATGTTGATGAAGGTGGTGACGCTGTTGATGGCGGTGATGTTGTTGATGGCAGTGGGACATTGATAACAGCAGTGATGCTGATGATGGTGGTGATGCTGATGATAGCAGTGATGCTGATGATGGCGGTGATACTGATGATGGCGGTGATGCTGTTGATGGCGGTGATGCTGTTGATGGCACTGATGCTGATGATAGCGGTGATGCTGATGATGGCGGTGATACTGATGATGGCGGTGATGCTGTTGATGGTGGTGATGCTGTTGATGGCTGTGATGCTACTGATGGTGGTGATGCTGTTGATGGCGGTGATGCTGATGATGGTGGTGATGCTGTTGATGGCAATGATGCTCTTGATGGTGGTGATGCTGATGATGGTGATGCTGCTGACAATGGTGGTGATGTTGATGAAGGTGGTGATGCTGATGATGGTGGTGATGTCGATGAAGGCAGTGATGCTGATGATGGTGGTGATGTCGATGAAGGTGGTGATGCTGTTGATGGCAGTGATGCTGTTGATGGCATTGATGCTGATGATAGCAGTGATGCTGATGATGGTGGTGATGGTGATGATGGTGATGATGGTGGTGATGGACGCAACAACTGCATTCAGCAGTTTATTTCCTGTGGTCAAATGGCTGAGCTTTGCGGAACACCTGCCTTGTTCCAGCAGGTATTGTGCTTATCTTATCTCCCCCTCAGCCCAAGCCCACAATGCAGGCACAATCATCCCCATTTTACAAATGAGGACGCTGAGGTGTGGAGACGTGAGTGACCCTTTCTGAGGCCCCTCCTTGGGAGAGGCAGAGGCGGGACTCGGACCCAGGCTGGGGGCTCTGGTGCCTCCAGTAGATGTCTAGGCCAATCCTTTGCCTCTCAAGCTGTCCTGGAGCCATGGTGTGCCTGTGCAGGGTGGACAGCAGCCATTAAGGAGGCCATCTCTGGTCATGCTGTCATCCCCACCAGTCAGGTGGAGAGAAAGCAGCCATCCATGGCTGCAGAGCCCAGGGCTTTCTGCTGGGTTTCCGGAAGCAGGCAGGGAAGGGCTGTGAACGGGGCTCAGAGGGGCTCCTGGCCTGTAGCTGCCTGAGTGTCTACGGGGGACGCAACCAGCTGTGGGGCTGGCAGACAGCAGTGGATGGCTCCTTTCTCACCAGATGCCCCCAGATGGCTGTGCGTGCCAGGCCTCTGGGCTGTGGGAGGGGAGGCTCCCACCCTCGTCTGCCAGCTTGGCCCAGCATGGATTTTACACAGGCATCGCCCCGCTCTGCAAATCCTAGGCCAGTGAAGGTGGCAGAGCACTGTGCTGGGGCCTCGTCGGCAGCACTGCTGGCTTCCTGGGTGATGAGCTAAGTCAGGTCCTATGTTCTGCTTCCTCATCTGTCACAGTGGGGACACAACTGCCCAAGTCACAGCCACACATGGGCGAGTACTTTGAAGAGAGTAAGGCGGCAAGCACACAGGAAAAGATGCTTGGTCTCCCCCATTATTAGAGAGACAAGAAAATAAGCAACAAGGAAGCTGCCCTGCTCGCTCACTGGGTAGGAAAACACGAGAACAGTGTTGGTGAAGCTGAGGAGCAGGCACTCAGGCACTGTTGCACTGGAGGTCAGGGGCAGCTGTTTTGGATGGCAGCTTAACAGCACTCACAGTTTAAAATCAGGTGCCTTCTGACCCAGAAATTCCTCTGCTAGGAATTTCTCTGGATGTACTTGCAGAAGTACTTAAAGATTTATGTACAAAGCTACTTATTACTTAGCGAGGGCTGCACACAGAAAAATGGAGAACTACCTCAATATTGATCAACAGGGCACTGGATTAAATCAAGGATGTGCAACTACTCCAAGGAATATGGCAGCTCTTTATTCGCTAGCAGAGAAAGAGTTCCCAAAGACAGTGAAGCAAAAAAGTAAGAACAAGATGCCGTTTACGTTTATGTGAATGTGTGTGTGTGCGCGCACTTGAATAAGCATACAGCATTTCTAGAATACACAACTTAATTAACAGGAGGAGTCAGGTTAATTTTGTTTTAACCATGAGCCCATGGGAGGTAACTGATTTTTATGTGAATTCTCAGATGAAAAATGTGTACCCTCTGCCTCCCTGATCTGTATGGGGTGTTGTGGACTCACCTTTCCAACCACTTCCACTGGAGAAAGCGGTCAAAATACATGCTGTCCAGATATTCGTGGAATGGTTCTCCCCTCAGGTACTCGTGGACAGACCTGGCGCAGATGGAACAAGAGGATGAACATTTTATAATCCCGATCTTCAAGCACGGAGGCAAAGCTGTATCCAGCTTTGGAAACGCAAGGAAACAGGGCTCTCAACCCATGCAGACGCAGCACGTCTGGCCAGAGGTCCTGCCATTCTGCTGAGTGTTGTGTGAACCTGGTTGGTCCTGCCAACACTTGTTGGGCACCTGCCATGTGTTGGGTACTGTTCTAGGTCCTGGGATACAGCTGGGAGCAAAGGCTTGGCATTGTATGTGGGACACAAACAGTGAATAGCAAACATGAAATAAACAATCCCAGGGGTATGTCATCATGAATGAGTTCGGCGGGGACTGTGAGGGTAGAGGGGTCTCTCTGAAGAAGGGACCTTAAGCCGAGAACAGATGAAGACTTAGCGAGGTGCAGGGAGGGGCCGGGAATCAGGGGTGGTAGGTGGTTGGGGGAAGGGTGGGGCCACAGCCCCTCAGAACTGCAGCTCTGGATCTGGTCTTGGACTAGCAAAGCCACTGGGAGTTTTTTATGCATGCAGCGGAATTTACTGGTCACCCGCTGTGGGCCAGGCGCCAGGTTGAGCCCTGGGATGCCGTGGATCTCTATGGATCTTAGGCCATCAGGGCAGGTTCTGAAGCTGCCTGCAGGTAGCTTCTTTCCTTTAGAAAGTGGCCACGCTGAGTAATCTAGCACAGGCACTTGGGGCCTGGGCAAGGGAGGGGACTACGGCAGGTGGTGCATGTCAGAGGCTGTGTCCTGCCAAACCTGAAAGCCATCGTTGGGAGCCAAGATGGCCATTCCCTCAGGGTCAGGGTCACCAACCAAGACCACACCCACTGTCAGATCTGACTCCTGGGCAGCTCCAAGAGAGCAGCAACCAAGCTTGCTCTGTCTACCACGGCCTCTCCCCAGCACCTAAGCCAGGGCTTAGTCCCAGGACAGCCCTCCCAGCTCCCCTCTAAGTGTATGCAGGTTGCTGTTTTTCTTGTATAAACTCCATGAAAGCCAGGACTGGGTTCTTGTTCACCTTGGTATCCCCTAGCACCCAGCACAGTGCCAGGTACACAGTAGGTACTCAACTGATGTCTGTGGTGCTGAATAAGGGCACACAAAAAGCCTCTAGGCTCATCCAGCTATGTGGGGTAACCTGGCTTTGGAGAGCTTGCACGGGCGTGTGTGTGTGTGTGTACCTGTGTCAGCAAGTGTGTGTGTACTTGTGTGTGTATGTTTGTACTTGTGTGTGCTCCTCGGTGCTCATGCCTTCAGTGTATGTGTGTGCAGGATGGGGTGGGGTTTAGTTGGCACTCTGCTGGCAGCATGGCCATCGACTCGTCTCACCCCCTGCGGGGTGGATGTGCCACTTGCAGACAAGGTGACACGGTTCGGCTGAGAAGTGCCCTCTGCATCAGTAGCACTGGCTCTGGTTGGTGGTGGTGGTGGGGGTTGAGGACCCTGGGAAAGATCTCCAAACCACCCAGACAGGGTCAAATGTTTGCACATTCCTCTGTCTCAACAGCCTGGAGAGCCACTTGCTTTCAACGCCCTTAGCAGCAGATGTTTTCTTCGGACTTGGCATCTCGATATCTTTTTCTCTTCATGGGAAGTATACAAACAGTTGGTATAACTTGGCTGACGCTGTCAGGCACGGAAGACCTGCCCCAGTGCCCTGTACGGTCAGGTGGAGAGCTGTGGCATCCCATCTCTGGGCAGCCCAGGGAGGACAGGCCAGGTGGCTGGGGCACTTACTGTGCACAGGCAGAGAAGAGTTCTTTGCATGGCTTCTGCAGGAGCTTCTCCTCCGTCTGGGAGACCAGGTCTCGGCCAACTTGGGCTATGAAAACAGGGGACTAGAAGAAGGAAGGGAAGGGAGGTGGTCAGTGAGGAGCCAGCAGCAGTGTGGCCAGGTTTGCCCACAGGTGTTGGGCCAAGAACCGGCCAGGCTCCAGGTGCTGGTGTACCTGGCAGCCCGTCTCTGCCCCAGCGTGTGACCGGCTGCCCCTCCAGCCTGCACCTGGCTCAGGGCTACCTGGACACTGGTGATCTGGGGAGGTGGCTGAGCTGCAAGGTGGTGAATGAGCCCAGGTTCAGGGTGAGACTTCTGGCTGTGCCACTTACAGGCTGTGTGACCTCATGGAAGTCACTTGGCTTCTCTGAGCCTCATTCCTCATCTGCATAACATTGATAATGACAGTCCCCATGGCCTGGGCATGTAGTCAGAGCTGACAAGGTGTGCAAATGCTCCCAACCATAAGGGGCTCTGCAGCATGACCCAGCCCATCATTAAGCCCGCAGCAGGCCTGGTGACGCCCCTTGGCCGTGCTGGGCTTCTTTCCTCCGAGGGCAAAACAGAGGATGAACACCTGCCCAGCCTCGAGGTTCATGTGTGAAAGGGTTTGGATCAGGCCCAGGTGGACAGGCAGGCTCAGGAGGGAGGAGGGGTCAGGAGGGGAGGGGAACTGTAGCCCCGGAGCTGCAGGCCTGGGTTTGAATCCCAGATCTGTAACTTGCAGCTGTGGCCTTGGTCTTAACTGCTCAGCCTCACTCTTGTCAGGAAGATGATCAGGAATAGGAATTTCTCTCGGAGCCAATCAATAAAAACTTCAGGTAAGGCATTTGGCCCAGATCTGGCCGTAGTAGCCAGCACGAAACAAACGTCACCCCCATTGTTTCTTTCTCTTTCTAGGTTAAGCTGCTGGCCTGAGTATTTTAAGTTTGAAAGGACATTTCCAAGAGTTGCTGTGTCCTACCCAGGAGGGGCAGCCGCATCTGGAAGGCAGCTCCACCCAGGGCAGGCCTCACCCTACCCCGTCCCCTCCTCCTACCATTCACCCTCTGCCAGCTGTTCCCAGGGACTGACTCACCAGCTGGGCTTTGAGATGGGTTTTTAATAAATTACAGGGATAATTGAGAAAATTGCTGGGAGTGGGCTCAGAAAGATAGGGTGTGGACACAGCTCTCTCCCAGGAGGATGCTGAAATCTGAAAGCCTTGCCTCCTCTTCCCTACGGGGCTGATTTGCTAAGTCCACCGGATGGTTTCTCAGGGCAGGGAGGTGTCAATCCCCGGGGGTGGAGGGGATGCCCGAGGCGGCAGCTGGCCTGTCCTTCGTGAATGAAATCAGTGGCTTGTTTTCTGTTCCCCACGGTCCTGAATGTCCAAATCCCTTCCTTCCTTCTTTATTTCTTTTCTAGGCCCAGCCTGCTCTGAGGCTCACCCCTGCCCTCAGGGTCTCCCCACTGAGCCAGGCCTGAGAGGCTTTAGCTTCTTGGGGGGCAGCCTGTGGTACGGATGCAAGCTGCTGTGACAGTGAACACCGCTTACCCAAGTGCAGGCCAAGCCACTCCCACCAAACAGCAGGCTCAGAGCACATTTCCCCGTTACCATCAGCAGCCTGGGTAGTGGCTGCTCTCTCCGACCTGCCTTCCCACTCTGCCTCAGGAGACACAGAAGAGCAACCCACAGAGCATGGGTCACAACTTTTGCAGAAAAGATGCTTGATGTCATGGAAGGAGCCCCAGGCCAAGAGCCAAGAGCCAGGAGCCTGAGCTCTGGCCCGGCCTCCGACCCCGGCCATTTTGTGCCTCCGTCTCACCCTCTGAAACAGGAAGGAACTGCCCCAGAGATGCCCAAAGGGTCCTTTGAGATTTGGGCATCGACAACTGGGGGCTTGTGCTTCTGAGACTTAGAGATCTTTCTTGGGAATTCTGGCAGCTGAGTCTCTTGGGAACCCGTACCTCCAGGCTACTTCAGAGCAACTGAATATCACAACAAATCCTGAGGCCCTGGGCAAATCTGCTTCAGGAAGGAGAGCTGATGGCTTGGCCCCCCCACAGTCCAGGAGGGCCCAAGGCCTGGCACAGAGCTGGTGCTGGCTGTCTGTTCATGAGCAAGACGATACAACGTGTTGTGCCAGGATATGACCTTGAGCCTGGTGCGAGTCAGCAAGGACCAGATAGAGATGTCAGCAGGGTGGGCCATGGGGAGAAACAGAGCGGTTCGAAGGGGGACCTGAGTTGCCCACCTGTGTGCACTCTGCAGGGTTCTGCCTTTGTTTCCACGTAGGGAGGACCCACCCTTACCCACCACAGGCACAGCCTGGTGCCGGGCAGGGGTAGAATTAAAAGAAGAAGATGAAGCCAGGCAGGACTCAGTGGCTCACGCCTGTAATCCCAGCACTTTGGGAGGAGGCCAAGGCAAGAGGATTGCTTGAGGCCAAGAGTTTGAACCAGCCTGGGCGACATAGTGACCGCCTATCTCTACCAAAAAAAAAAAAATTAGCCAAACATGGTGGCTTGCCTGTAGTCTCAGCTACTTGGGAGGCTGAGGCGGGAGGCTTCCCTGAGCCCAAGAGGTCGAGGCTGCAGTGAGTCATGATCACACCACTGCACTCTAGCCTGGGCAACAGGGTGAGACCCTGTCTCAGAAAAAAAAAAAAAAAGAAAAGAGAAAAAAAAAAAGAAAAAAGAGATGGAGCCAGTGTGGTTTTGACCTCAAAATACCTTTTCTCCAGTAAGACAGAAATGATATAATATAAGGTATAATATCCTTATATTATGCCTCTCAGTTCTTATGCCTAAAAGTTCTTATGTCTCTCGGTTATACTGTACGTGGTAAAGTACAAAACGGGCTGGCTGAAATTCAATGGCTTTCAAAGCTTCTTTCTCCTTGTTTTGCTTGTTTTAGTGGCAAACTTTTCTCCTCCAAATGAAATTTATTCACAGACCCAATATTTAAAACCTATAAAAATAATTTAATTGGTAACAATGGTTTACATATATCGAAGGCTAACTCTAGTTAGGTCCTGTGCTAAACACATTGCTTCATTAATTCACTGAATCATACCCTGAGGTATCTATTATCATAGTGCCCATTTTGCAGATGAGGAAACTGAGGTTCAGAAAGGTTAAGTAACCCTGAGGTTCTCAGGGTCACCCAGCCAATAAGTGCCTGAGAGGGGATTTGAACCTAGGTTGGGTGTCTAATGAGTGAGATCTGGCTGGAGGGAGTGGGCTGTCTGGGCCACCTGTGCCCTCTCTCACCTTATCCCCTCAGGACCCATGAGATCTGACCCTAGCCCCCCGTACTCTGCAGAGCTCAGCATGAGGACCAGGGTGCTGTTTGGTCCCATAGCAGAGGCAAGTGGCACAGCTCGAGACAATGAGCTCCACGGCTCAGAGAAGGGAGGGGCCGTTGTGAGCTGGGGTCATCTGGAAGAGACTTTATGGAAGACGGAGTAAGGGGCAAAGCAGAATTTGACCCTCCTACCTGCAGGCGGGGACAGCCAACTGGACTCCCTTCTCAGCAGATGTGAGAAGGGGCTTGTCCAGGGTCTAGAGGTGACCCAACTGTGTACATGAAGTCACACCACCCTCATACTTTGGACTGGCTGGCGGGGGATCTCTGCTCAAAGGCAAAGCCCTAACAAGGGAGTTAATGAGTAGAAGCAGCAGGGGAGTTTCTCTCTTGAAGACCCCCCCATGAATGCCTGCCCCTTGCGGCCTTGCACAGCTAAAGCTACCCTGTGGTCAGCCTCAACGTGGGGAGCCAGCCTGGCCCTGCCAGAGTCCACTCTGATGACGGTCAGGGTGACACCCAGCTACCCCTGAAGAGGGCTCCGTGACTATCTTTCTGGGACAGCTGAAGACACCAAGATATGTCCTGGGGACACAGCTGTGTAGCCTGGGGTGCTGGACAGACAGCTCTCTCCCCTCTGGCTGGATGAGAAAGGCCTTGCCTGCCACGAGGAACCGTGGGCTGTGAGGACCCCTCTGGCAATCAGTCCCCAGTGCTGAGCTCCCCAACCACTTCTTTGGTGAAGGACCCTCCCCTTCTGGTCCCCACTGAAGCTGGGGAGAGACAGAGGTGACCTTGAAGCTGGGCGCACTTTGACCCGGTTCCTCTGTATAAAAGCCCCCTTCACCTGGAGGTAAAAGAACCTGCTCTGCCTCCCTGTTGGGATGGGAAATTGACCTTGAATCCTCCTTCTGCAATGGAGGAACCTGGAGCCGCACTGGGCTGGGGAGCCAAAGCTGCCTGCTGTTCCAGCGAGCAGATCAGACAGAGCTCATGCTGGTCTGCAACTCCCTTCAGGACCCACGACAACTCACCCCTTCTTCCCACCTCATCCCTATGGCCCAGACTCACCCTCTGCTCTATGCCACTGGTTCTGGGGATCCAGGCAGTTCCTGATGTCCGTGATAACCAGAATGTACCTTTTCAGGCAGCAAGAGATGACACTTGCCTGGGATGTTTTTCTGGACACCACAGGGCACTGAGAAAAGCTCTTCCCACCACTTGGAACGTAAGTAGGGCAGACCCTCCACCAAAATGGATGAAGTACGCCTAGGGTGGCTTCGCACCTTCACTCCTCTCTAAGCCCCTCCCCTCCCTTTTGTCCTCATCTCACGCATCCTCTACTGCTGTGACTTTAAACTCTAACATACCACGTAGGTCACCTCTCTCATCTTCTGTTCCATCAGAACAGAAAGCTCTGGGATATCCAGGCATGGTGTGGATGACGTATTGCTGACCAGTAATGATTCAACGCATGGGAGCCTCGGAATTTTCAAAGATGAGACCGTCGGGATGGCAGTCTGGTTGGAGAGAAGAGCTAGGGGACTGTCCTGAAGCTGCGTTTGTATAGCAATGGGTTTAGAGTGAATGGGGTGACTTGCTGGCTAATCCCTTGCCCATAGTACCCCTTGGTACAGCAACTGCACAACGCCTCACCCCTCCCAGGTCAGCTGCAGCTTCACAGGCGCCATCTGTGCTTAACCTGAAGCAGGAAAGATCTGGGGTATTTCAGGTGCTGAGGCAGGCTGGGGAGGAGGGGTGCTGAGGAGGAAGGT